ATTGTGCAGTATGTGATCGCTCTTCATTTGTTTAAATCACTACTAAAAGTATTACAGAAGCGAAATGAGAGATTTGTATAAAATGAAAGTTATACTGACATTTTTGTATTTTTTGTGGAAAATCTGCAGTGACAGATGCACAGCACTGAAAGCAACCGTTTCTTTGACCTATGTAACACACAAGAGATAATTTGAAAACGTACATTAAATTTTGCAAACCTTCTCCATTTAATCACACATGCTGTGTTGCACATCTCGGCGCTTCTAATTCTGGAGAACCTACTATACCTCAGAAACCTTAGTTGGACGTTAATTATGCTCACACGTGTCTAATCGTTCGGGCAGTAGAACCTAACCTAAAACTTTTCTTTCTACATTTAGAATTCTCCAAATAGTCCATACCAACTGCCTAAACAATTATTGCGTCTTCCTGAAATGTATTTCTTTAATGCAACGGAATCTACCCGAAATGGACGCCACGTATTCTTTTAACGCATTCATTCATTCATTTTGGCTACAATATAGCCGTCCTTTCACCCTTTCTACTTGCTCGTCCCGCAAACTTCTGTCTGTCAGCCGATCTGACCGGCCGACAGGACATGTGTTTTGGGTTTTGGCATGGGACGAGTTGCTGCTGGTAACGTTCATAGTTGTTCTAAATAGTACGAAATTTACTGGCAGGGCTTATCGATGGCAAACCGTAGGAGGTTAAGGTACCTTGGCTTGCTTGGGTTTCTGCTAAGCCTCGCTCTGCTTGCCTGTATGCCAGGCTGAAGGCTTGTCTGTACTCAGCTTGGAGACCTGCTCACCTTGTGCCTGTTCCCATTCAGTCGTTCTCTTAGGCCTCAATCCATGATGGTACGATTTGCCTCGTCTCCATCCAACTTTTTTACTGATGGTGATGCCAGCTGCAATAAAATACTTGTCTCGCAATCGTGACGCATTTATCACCGCCTTGGTACATACATCATTGATGATTACAAATTGCGGTCGTTTCCTCAATACAGCCATTGCCATTACCATGATTGCTACCTTGACCTTGGCCGGACTTGACGCGGGCCGCTTGGCCACATAGGGACTAACTGTAAAGAAAATGGCGACGACTCCACCGTCGCTCTGTCGCCACGCGTCGACCGGTTTATCATGGGCCGCTTGTTAGGCACAGCTTATAACGACGACTTTGATCTATGGTCTACTTTATCGTATTCTTCGCAACCCAAGTCGCAGACGGCTCAGTAAAATACACGATCTAGATGACGGTAGCATCCTCATCTCGGACATACTTTTTAGCACTGCTCATATATTGGCCCGGCCATATCGCCATTGCCATCGTCATTACGGCCTAAAGTGGTGCTCGATCGTTGAGATGGCGGTAGTGTTCCATTCTCTGAAATAGGCCGACTGCCCCGTGACCTATTTGCCTGCAAATCTTGACGAGTTGTGATCCAGGTTCGAACAAGTTTCGTCTCGTGCTGAGAGCTAGTCATCGAATGGAACGCCTAGTGGCAATACCGGACGTAAAACTCGAAATATAGAGGTGGACCAGTTGCTACTCATGTTTCGAGACCGAACGTTTTTCTGGTAACAGCACGAGAACGAAAGGAAAGCAGAATCGGTTCTACTGGCGTCCTCAGCAGGAAGCGATTTGAGCCGATGAGGAGTTGGCGGTGATCGATAGACAGCTTTTATTAGGGGAAACCCGGATCTGAGACTAGGAGGCAGAGCCGATACGGTGATAGATATGCCAGCGAAAAACGGCAACATGACAAGCGACTTTGCCACTTAGCTGCGCAATGACACATTGCCCCAGTGTGTAGTAGTGTTGTTGCCCAATGGCCGTCAGTAACAATCGCAAATGTCAGCCGCTGTAATCGATTGATCAGTGAGACTTAAGAATACTCTAGAACGCTCATTGGACAAAAGATACGTTGGAAATGCGAGTCTACATATCACGATTCTAAAAGTTCCTACTAAATTATTAGCGTTATGGCAAAGTTGTGTCGACAAATGGACGTAGATATGGCAATAATTTAATATTTCAAAACACGATCGTAAGGCGGAGAAAAGCACATGGTCAGAAAACTACCATATGTTTACTACGATCTTACTATGCATCAGTTGACATGGAAGATAAAAATTAATAGCCCAAACAAAAAAATATTTATGCCATTTTGACTAATATCTGATCTTTTAGATATCAATAGATTTCACGTTATAACGTATCGTCACACGCATTTCATTTGGCGTTTTGTTTCGGTAAGGGTGTTCTTATTTTAGCTAGAGAAGGAAATCTCTTAAAATGGATCTCTAGAGCCTTCTTGTTGTTGTATCGCCCGTGGCGTCAAATGAAGCTGTCAGAAAAGCCCAGATCCGGCCAACATTGATAGGATGCATTTGACATCGCGTGCTCGCTGACCTCCTTATGGCCGAAATGATGTGAGCCACTTGGTTCCTATGCCTAAATAATGGCTTTGTAAAATCAAGCCTTAAATATAAGCCTAAGTTAAAAAGAGGCGTATGGAGCGAATATCAATGAATGTTTTAATCATCAAGTACACCATGCGATACTGCGTCTGCACTATGCTCCTACCTTTTAGCTGAATTAGCACGTAAACGGCCTATTCCTAGTGGTGCTGCAGAAACCGTTTTGAATATACTATCAGGAAAAAGGTATACATTGTCAAATGAGCACGGCATAATAAAGCGACGATTTGCATCTATGCGCGTCTTTTGATACTTATAATGTAATGAGCTTGCCTTCGACAACCCTTCGAACAAGTATGGCGTAGATCGATCCGGTGCGGTCAAGGGCAGATCGGCTTTTCTCATTATCGACGGTTGCCGTTTTTAGTGGCATGCACGCCATTTTTTCCTTCCTATGAATCGATTCTAGACGGTATCGCAGCTTCAACTTAATTTTTATACACTTCAAAGGACAACGTATTCGCATAGGACAGTAGCAGTAAATACAGAGGTAGAAAAACCTTTGTCGGCTGCAATCGGTCAGCCACATAAACCCCTGTCTGTAAAAGAGCTTGGTATACATATCACACGTAATACATCGCTTCACCTATATCATTAGCGTAATAATGTGCGACACTTAATTGCAGCTGTTTGAAGTCAGCCTTTCTTTCCAACAAACCCTGAGTCTTAAATGTAACACTGCGAAAATTATCGCCGACGTCATGTCGTCAACATTCGAACCAGAATTGTCATATCAATGAATTGCCATTAGCGGTATTAGAATCAAATGCGAGGTCCTGTTGTCCTGAATGATTACCGAACTGTTTTTGCGAAGATACATGATCTACCATGTCGTACATTGACTTTCATCAGAACTAGAAAAGCATGACTGCACACCAAGCGGAGTAGAAGGATTTCCCATTGTAACCTACCTCTGTTTTTCTATTATATTTTTCTGCGTCACAGCATACAGGAACACCATACATAAGCATGTAGTAACAGGGCGTGAGCCACCATTTTCTGTTTTCTGCCAACGTTTTCTATTTTCACTAATACGCGGGGACCTCCAAACAAATTTATTCAGTCAAAGAGCACGGCAGGTCCGAAAAAGGGTCGGCTGTAGGCAAACTGAGTACTTACGATAATTTGGCATAATTAAATGCATGCTACACAAACAAGGACCTGATGCTTGTAGTCTTTGACCCTACGGTGGGTCAAATGCAATTGATCTTCCTATGGCCCTTGATCCCGGCCGTCGACTTGTTATAATATTACGATCAGTCTGTTTTTTTTTTTACTTGACAATCGCTTGTGACGAGCCTTATAGACATTATGTTAGCGAATTACTTTTGCAAGCAAACTAGACAATATACGATAGTCGCGCAGTTAGATCTGTGCAAATTACAGAAATGCCACAAGAAAACGGAGCATTAGCATGCTCAACCAATTAGAATACGTGTGAATCCGCCTTTGAGTTCAATACGCAGCATATGCAACCGACAAACGGAAGATTTTGAGAAGAATAATTCCTACTTTAGGTCCTAGAAAGTAAACCTAGACTCAGAAACATAACATAAATTTATCAGAATTACTATCTAATATTCCAGGCACCAGTAGCCTTTTCGAAGTTACACGAGCTTAATTTGTGTTTTTCTTATGTCTACGTACACGCGATTAATGTTAGGTTGAATGGAAAGTTTCCGTTAAAGGCAATAGACAGCGTTGGCGTCGGACTGGCTGAAGCTGAAAGTTCCCAGGACGATTGACTGTCAGGCGTGTACCTAGTCCCCGTGGTAGCCGAACGAGCGACGCATTTGCCTGCTAATCTTCGGGCACGTCGTGGTTTAGATTTCGTGCTGGGAGCCAACCCCCTGATGAAATACCTAACGGTGATGCCGGGCGTAAAGTTTATTCAGACAAGCATGTGCCCTGGTAATTTAATTGAACTGTTGTTGTTAGGTGACGAATCAGTGCGCTCACCCATGCACTTCATATCTTGCACCGTCTTCAATACTACCTTCGTGCTCGAAAAAGTGGTGCGCAGACAACAACAATCGTTTGCGGGATCGAACATGAGCGTACAATAAGGGTTAGCGTTTGCCAGGTTTGTCTTAATCGCTTCATAACCGCAAACTTCAGTTTGAGTGACAAACCACGCTTTGAACCGCCGTAAGAAACGAACGACGACGATCTGCAGGTATCCCTCAAGCAAAATGTGATCCAGACGACCCAGGTGTTCTCTATACAGCTTGGACTATGCAAAGAGATTGGTATCATAGCATAGCCAGCAGACACACATTTCACACTGTAGATCGAAATGTTACAACGAATGGATAGCTTATAAGGGCACCGTCTTTTTACTTCACGGGATACATCAGGTACGAGAACGATCGATGAAAATCGTAACAAGCAGATGCCTCTGCTTGTTTACCTTTTTACCCCTATCTAAGTTGTATTCATTTGTTCAAAATTGCGATAAATAAGTGAAAGCGGCCGAACACAAGTAACGTTTCACTCAACCTACTACCTGCCCTTACCTGTACATGAAACGTCTTCGTGGTATCGTCAAGAAGTCGAACATTGACCGTCATAATCCGGGAGGAGAGCTTCCTTTTGGCCGCCTCGCAGCACTCGCGGTCTAGTCCCTTCGACTCACCTGCAGTGCTTGTATCAACATTACAGCTGCTGCTGCCGCCCAAAGCTGAAAACCGGTCGGAGTCGCAAGAGAAAACGGGTCTTATAGACTGTTAAACAGCGCTACGGCCAACTGGAATTCAGTGTAGAAAAAAAACTCTACGGCTATATCTAATGTTGTGCTGCACAGTTTAATACCACTAAACGTTACTTTCATCACGATCAAAAAACATGTAAGAACACACATATTGTTCAATGAGTACTATTAATTGTATTAAAGTATAGCCAGTCAGTAAGTGTACCCTTAAGCACATTTCGTATTATACAACCATATGGGAAAAGCAAGCTCCTGTTGCCGTAATCGAATTGTGATTTATTATGAATGACCATTATTTTGTTTTTAAGAATTTATTATGTGTCTGTTGAAGTAGATAAATATAAATACTAAGTTAAATATAAATACTGAAAGAGTAAACGTTTAAACCCTTAGATCCGATACTGTCGTTAGGCGCTGCTTTGTATGTCACCGTTGGCATGAGTCCACCCAAATGACAGCGATTGAGAAAATAAAAAAAAAAAAAACAAGCAGCGCATACCATACACATGCAGCATTAAGTTACTGCAACTGCTTCAGCCTTTCAATTGCGCCATCACCCATGTAGTCCATGGGGAACTTCCTTGGTTTGTAGCATTTTCTGCTTCTTTTGTTTGTTACTGTCAATTATCGTGGCCACTGCCTCCCCTTGTTAGTTCTTCCGATTTTTTTGTTGCTCCATGGTGCTTCTCATCGACAGTATTCGCAATACTGTCTCCGAAGGCCACATAGTCCCGAGCCGCATGCAAATAGCCCACGAAGCACCTCAAAGGCGCGATTAGAGATAGATGCGACCACGAAGTACCATCCGGAATAGGATTGCACGTAAGGCTGAGCTGACCGGACGGATTTTTTTCTGGGGTTGCTTTTCCTTCTTTAGTATTCTCTTTCGCATATGTGGGAAAAAGTTGTACAGGCTGCGGTGGGCTATTGTCTAATAGAGTTTTTGCTCTACCGACCAAATGAAAAACAAAGATCTATGTAGGACGGGTCCTTTTTGATACTGATCGAAAATCCATGCCGAGCTGAATCAATATATAATACATGTTCCTAGACGTAAATTTCAGTTTTTAAGTTTAAAATGCTCCCGAAGGACGATAATTTGACATGGTGTTTTTGAATATAAAAATGTTTTTTTTTGACGCTGGCCGATAGATATTGACGAGTCGAGTGAAAATGCGAGACACCTTCGTGCACCTAAAATGGATATTTTGGTGCGAAAATTTTAGGGAAAGACTTATTCAAGAGCCTGTCTCGTTTATGCGACAGTAAGATAAAAGTTGACTTCGAGTCAATTTCTGTTAGGTGCCAATCGGGAAGCTGCACCGTCTAGTATGACGAGTACTTTAGTCGACCAATTTGTATCAAATACATTATCTGAAGGTTTTTTTGAAGCAGTTAAAAACATTTTATCGATGCAAACTGCCCTTTTTTTGTGTGAACATTCTTGACGAGTCGTCAAAGAATGCAGTGCAACTTCCTATATTTGAGGTAGGTATTTTGACGTGAAAAGGACAAAAAAAAATGTGGTAGCTTTTTTACAACACGGGAATGATTTTTTTTAAATAGAAGTTTATGTATGGGAGGTGTTTTTCGTACGAAACGCAATAGATATTTATATACCTGAACCTCAGTTTTTGGGTCGAAAATGCTGCTTCAAAAGTAGCGACATGGTTTTTCCTAACACCAATCGATAAATCTCGATCATCCGAATAAAAATGTAATATATATACCTGTACTTGAAATTGATATTTTCTGCGAAAAACCTTTTTAATTGTGGCAATGTAAGAATCGGATGAAAATGTATTTCGAGGGAATTTATCGATTGGGTAGTTGAGGTGGCGAACGTAGAGTTGATCTTCGTAAAAGACGTTCCCTAATTAATTTCAAAATATATACCAGCATGTCAAATAAGTATATGCATTTATCAACTAGCAACAGGGGATTAAAAATTTTTCAATCCATTTTGGGAGCAAAGCCATTCTCAATTTTATTTAATGTGTGTAACTATCTCTTAGAATATTTATTTTATAGAAGAAAATATTTAAAGAAGTTCGTCAGCCTCGCCGACGTCCCAAGTAAGGAATCAGTCGGTTAGCCGATTTTATCAATGGTAATATCCATCGTCGAGGGACCGACTGATGACCTCAGGAGCTGACTGGCATTCCGAAAACATAGTCAATCACTCAACAAGAAAAGACAATGTAATCACATTGCAGAATTGTACCGAAACGGCAGAGATAAATTTGAGTTAATTAAGCTCCCTGGGGAACATATTGGAACAGGCTACCGAAATACAATAAGAGGGTAATGGACTACGCGGGGCGACGTAATTGCAACGGGGTCATTGTTAATATGTACTCGAGCTGCGGTCTTCGTTAGCTTAACGAATCAAATTAGTTAAAACAAGCGTGAGACGAAGCACACGGACTCTCTAGTATCACCTAATACATGGGCCTCGGTCTTTTCATGTTTACACGGTTAAGCCCTAACTGTCGATAGGGTTTCTAATCGCACTACGTCTAGTGGCACTACAAGGAGCCGATATATTTACAAAGGCTCTTCTTTAATTCTTTCTCCACCTTCACTGAGAAAAATTCTCAGCCAAAAAAATCCAAGAACGTATATGTCAACTGCAGATCTGAAACGAACGCCTTCTTCTTCGTCTTGGCTCTTCCCTTGTCCCACCTCTGCGTCCGCTCTACCCTTTCACTCAACTAAGAGGGGGCGTCAGATAAAAGCTGCATGCTACTTACCGGACTCGGCCAAGGACAAAGGGAGGAACAACGTTGATAGGGGAACGAGTTTCAAATAAATTCCTTAAGGAATCATTTTCTTCTTCTCGAGGTCTGGGCGGAGCAGCTGCTGAATTTTCAGGTGGAATAGGTAGGCAGGTGTGAGCTGAACTGACTAGAACATAGGAGAAAAATGCTGTGAGTAGTGAAACCAAGTAGCTCTGCTGCTGCTGGTACCGTTGAGTCTGACGGTGTCCTCTGATGGGCGAGGCGCCAGTGCCGCAACACGAGCGCCTCATACGAATGACACCTCATAGCAGAATTAGCCAAAGTAAAAAGCTTGAAGGAAGAGTTAGGCGGCAATTTTTTTAAAAATTGGTGCCCACGCTGCGATACCTGCACCTGTCCTACGGCTGTGCACACTGTGAGCGATCCTTAGTATGAGAAGGCAAAAAGAAAAGTTTTTTATCAATTCGAAACGACTGTTAGACTCACAGACAGGAAGGGACGAGGTAAGAGAGAAGGTATACTTTCGAGATTGCAAATACACTATAATGGAGAGAAATAGCTAGAAATGATTTTCTTGAACTGGAAGTTTTCTGTGAACTTCGTAGCTTCTATATTTATATACGTGAACTAGTTCCGAGCCAAGCTTTATAACAGTATTGTGAATTTATATGTGGCAAAAGGTTGATTGGCATCGATTTAAAGTAGGGAAGAAAAAACTTACTAGCCAATTATAATTAGTTTCTTCTAGTTGGAAAAAATAGCGAGGTACATTGCTTTTCTTTTTGAATATCATCAATGATTACTTTTGCTGCATTCTTCAGAGCTTGTTTTTGACCTTCTATACCGTACCAAATTGAGGGTCTCATCCTAAAATTTCGTCTTAAGTACTCTGATTATCGTTTCTAAATTGCTGTAATAAATAGCGCTCTATGGGTTAATCTTGTTCAGACAAACACATTTTACATTTATGTGCAAGTACACACATTTTACGACCCAATACCGATAACCAATGTGTACCGATACGTAAATCGTGGCGTCGAAATGCATGGCCTATATTTGAGTGCCCATCGACGCCCTAACCGCATAAGCAAGCGTGCAAACGTAGCCGCTTCTATATGCATGTGTGTACCGTAACAGAGGTATAATGTCTCTCATTAAGTTAACACATGGAAGAAGAGTGTCCTTACCCCAGTCACGTGTCTCTATGTATATAGAGGTATTTTTTTTATGTCGCAATCCTCTGCTGGCGCATACTAGCAGTACACTAAATGCATAAATAAAAAAGACAGTAGTTTCATCTCATCTACCCACTAAATAACAGTAAAAAAAAAAATATTTTGAGCTTTACGCAGTTAACTTGTCTACTGGAAATGTATGTAGAGATATGGCTTGTTCAGTTAACTTACAATACACAATTTACTGTGTAGCTGTTGCTAGAGTCGTTCTTTATAACTTCAGTGAACGCTGCCGTATTAGAGCAAATACGATTTGACAAGAAAAATCTTGTTCTATATTAACATTTTATAGCGGCAGTGTTCGGAGTTGACAATAACAGGGAAGAAATTATATAGGTAGCGAAAATTTCCGCACTTTGTTGTCGTGCATTTCACGCTTTAACCGTTCGAAATAAGTTAGATACGTTCACTTTTAGGATCGGAGCGTATGCACTGTTTGTTTTATACCGGTTGAAGTCTTTAATTAAAAACCACGAAACAAACGAGCAGATTAGTGATAACGAGGAGGGTGGCAATAAGACCAATAGGAAAGCATAAACCAATTCTAAACACAATTTATACACAGCCCTCTGGAACAAACAATATTTCCCTGTCAGAAAGCTGCGTTTTGGCGCAGCGCGTCCTGCGCCTTGAAAGGTCTTTGCTCGACCAATTCATCAAGTATCAAAAGTACATTTCACAATCTTTTCTAAAAGCGAAGCTAAAGATCAAGAGAAGAGGGGTCATTGATTGTTGTTAGTTTTATACAAAAAAAAAAAAATCGGAAGCGAACGCTATCGTAGTGCAGCATTCGCGCACAACCTTGACTCTGAAGAGAGAAAGGTCGCTCAAGGCAAATATCGGTACAATATTTCGAAAGCTTAAAATGCTAAATAACAAAAACTCGAGTGGTGGGCACGGTAAATGACAGTGATTTTGATTGAACCGTTGACGTTTCGAGCTTTACGTCCGGTATCGCCGTCAGGCTTTCCATCAGACATACGGCTGGCTGGCT